TCTTCATCCCTTGATAACGATCGTTCGGGTTGGAAATAACGTCAAAAAAACATTTGTACGTTCTTTGTACCAGATACCCGTGTTTGGTTCACCTGGATACCATTTAATGAAGGAATCTGCAGGTGTGACATCTCGATTTTAGGAAGAAAAGCATTACATAACGTTTATCAGGGGATTGTGCAGGATCACGCATTTAATTTAAAATTAACAATTACCTATTTCATCAATCCTTGGTCAAATGTAAACGCAAGTTTTTTCTAGTCTCACATGTGTCATCATGTAAAATTTCATGTTCATACGCTGAACAAAGATTTGTCCAAATATATGGCAATGCACAATTACTGTATGACTAAACTATAAAGACGTCAGTGCAAGACGATTCTTCGGATCGAAATAGATTGTTAGGTTGTTGAAAAACGACTATAAATCCAATATAATTTCAAGACACAACTTCAAATCTTGCTAGCGTTTTGTTCAACATGAATTGTTACGGTATACAAAATATATCACATGGATCAGAGACTATTTCGACAGGAACGTAAGGATGGCTAATTATACCTTTGTATCAACAAAGATTATAGTCACCATGGCTCGTAATATTTTCCAAAAAAACTCTAAGTAAATTAATTTTGAATTAAAAACAGGTGAAACGTAAAAAATATTTCAAATATCTCTTGCGAAGTTGTAGCTAAAGAACTAACCTAAGTTGTCTCATATGTACCTGGCCATGTCTGACTTCACACTGTATCCATCTCGTGATATATTTTACATCTTTACACAGAAGAATATTTGAAATAACCTATGATACTAACTATTGGATTATACTCAATTCCTGTCAATATCCAAATATGCCGGGTTCCATTCGAAATATTCCTTTTGAAGTATTTCATACTTGCATTGTAAGATTCTTCATCTCGAATCAAACCAACATCTGCGCTGCGTTTCTTACAAATATCAATTGCTTCGTCGTAGTTGACATCCCAATTACTTCGTATCACAGCGAAATAACAGATATTTTGGACCTTTAACTTGCAGTTTTCTAAAATAAAATAAATGTATATGTAGAAATTTATCGAGTAATAAATATTGATCCATCCTTGTTTTGGGCAAGGAGCACCCGGTACCTTCAAACAATACTTCATTTGTTTCAAATCAAACTAGCCGGATTGAGAAAGTGTAATGAAGCCAATAACACGTAACAGTGCCTGTGTTTAGCATTTTATTGAGATTACGAAATACTGTACACTGACCAGAAATTCCTTCCCCGAAACTCTTCGTTATTTCATCCAATTTATTTTCCAACTTTTCCAATTCTATTCTAATATTTGTGATATCAGAATAAAAATGAAAGATTTTTTTAGATTCGATTGCATCATACGAAGTAGCAAAATAAATTATTTCTCGGTAGGAAACTACGCAAAATTCACTTTCAAACCAAAATTAATCAAATAAGTAAATACAGCAACCATACCCAAATTTTAGGATGCCAAATCAAGCTAGCTAAGAGCAGTACTATTGGGCTAGCATGAGATCGAATATTTTTTGGTATGTTCATCAATGTCAAAGGTTAGTCTGTCCGAATTACATTGTGCAATATGACAACCAGGCTTAGGTGAACAGTGAAACACTGTTTCATCTTGACGCCAGAATAACGCGATGACGAAGATTAATATGAAAACGATTGAGATTTTCATTTCGAGGTTTCAGTGTAGTTAAGTCAAAACTGGATGAGAAAAGTTCAAGTTAGAATTAAAAAGTTCATTCCGTTATGTCAATGTAAAATACAATTTAAGAGTATTTTACAAGGAATTATGGTTTTGGCAAATGGGCAAAAAGCAGGTTTGATCTATTTTGAAAAAAACCTTACATTAGACAACGCTATTTGTAGTCACGATAGTAACAATTCAGAATGGGCGTAGCATTTATAATACGAGAAAAGCTTATTTAGAGGCGACATTGCAAATTTATAAGAGATATTGACGCTTTGTAAAGGCGTTTAATCTTAATAAGTGTAGTCGATTCAAGGTTAAGGCATATTCTTTTGAATCGGGCGAAGAAAATCTGAAAAACAATCATTTCAGAATCGGGTTAGGCTTTTTATACAGGGCATAGCTTATCCACTCGAAATATGGCCTCATTAGAAAGGTATAACATTTTTTTAACAGCATATCTTTATTCAACATTATAACAGCATATCCTTATAGTAGCACTGAGCCTATATAGATAAGGCGTAGCTTTGTTTAACTGGCATATAAAGTATATTCATAAGTATTCGCAACTCTCCCTGCTTACCTCGCACTATTATACAGAGTATTCCTGGTAATATCTGAAAATTTTCGAGTATGGGCGTATTGGTATTGGCCATAATCTAACAGCCTATATTGCAGTCACCTGGTACTATCCAGGGGTGGTCGCTCCTTCGTCGCTGCCAGCGAGGGGAATTGTAAGAAAAATTTTTGGACAAGGTAAAAAGCGAACGCTCATTTGGTGTTCGATGGAAGAACAATGGTCGTTGAGCTGGACAAATAGCGGAAATTCGTACGGCGCCCTACCCCCGAGTTCCTTTGACCGTTGAGTTGTTTCAATAACACATCATGAACCGGTCACTTCTAACGGAAGTTGAGTTTTATCAATTTTGGTGTCTGTGATCACTCAACCTTGACGACAAGTTTTTGTCGAAAACTTTACCTCAATTACCTTGTATCACCCAAATATGGCATCTCTACTTATTAAAGTTCTCGAGATATATTATAAAATTACTAGAGCGTGACTGAAGGAAAAAAAAAATCTATGTTTAAAAATCATTTAAACTATATTTTAAGTCATACTCATCTTTTCAGATTCCTAACAAAACCTCTCAGAGATCTAAAATAAGCCAATGGAGCGTGACTGTGGGGTGAGAGGAAGAAATTCCACTTACAAAGGTTTTAAATCATTTTTTAGCCATGGCCATGTTCTCCGATTATTGATAACACCTCTCAGAGAGGAGAGGGAATTATCCAGCTGCCGATGGTGAAATATTCGTTTAATTATTCTCTTCAACAACCGAGCATCACTTTTCCCTATATCACATTCCATGTGCTCAGAACCGTCCAAAATCAATAATACCCAAGTGGGCGTGGCTTTACACACGTTTTCTCACCACTTAGGGGGCGAAGGCTCTGCCCCAACCCCCGATACATCTTGGAAAAATTTCCAATACTCGGGCAAACGATTTCGCCTTCCGGAAACCGAGCTAAATGGCCTCTAAACGCCAATATCACTCGAGCGTGTCTTGATTGACAGGTAACCAGTTCGGCCCGACATTTTCCTAGGAAACCGTCGTTTCAGGCGAAAACCCTAAATTGCGTAGCTTTTATGCTAAAAATTTACAACGTTCGGATATTTATGGAAGCAGACGCTTGTCATGTCGTGACGCAGTTTCAGATCTTGATCGGATTAGCGATATCGCGTGGTGGAATAGACAATTACATCGCAGAACTAATTTTAGTTCTTTGCAATATTCTATTATTAAAAAATCGCAGTAAAGTTTAAATATAAGTTTACATATGCTATTAAAATCTATTTTGCATTGACTTGTAAGAGAAAGCTAATACGAACGTTCATATTTACTGTGCGTGCACTTTGAACGTGACTGCAAGAAAATACATGTCTAAACAACAAATACGCATAACCAAATAAATTTTTTCTCAGCACATTAGTAAATATTTTTAAATCTGCTATATATATTGAATTAATTCTTTTGTGTGAAAAGATTAAAATTTATTAGATTCACACTATATTCGTGAAGGCTAATTGTACATATTTCGACAGATTTGCCATTATCAAATTTTTATGTTTAAATACATGTTTTATCACATTATTGGTCGTTTGCAATTCTTCTGTCAGTACTTACTCCACTTGCTGTTGAGGACTCGAGATATTGATTCGAGCAAATTTGCAACTCTTCTACCAGTACTCTTCACAATTTTAGTTGAGAGCTCAGGACCTTACTTTGATCAAATTTGCAACTCTCCTTTTATCTATACTCTTTCCACTTTTAGTTGAAGGCTCGAGTACTTGCTTTGAGCAAACTTGCAACTCTCCTATCAGAACTCTTTCCAATTTTAAATTAGAGTTGGGCACCTTGCATTGAGCAAGCTCGCAACTCTTCTATCAGTACTCTTTCCACTTTTATACGACGGTCCAGGACCTTGCTTTGAGCAAATTTGCAACTCTCTTGTCACTACTCTTTCTCCCTTCAGATGAGGACTCGGGACCTTGCCTTGAACAAACTTGCAACTTACCTATCAGCAGTCTTTCCACTTCCAGTTAAAGGTTTCATCGTTTTGGGGTCAGTATAAATATTGGTAAATTTTTGCTGTAAAAGTGGCAACGCGTTTCGAATTGACCTGGAATCTTAGATCTGACACCATAGACGAAATCATTTCCTGATTCAACAATCCACATATACATTTCGAAACGTTTTGTCTTTAAACGTAATTACCGCATCAAGCAATGAGCCAATCTATATCATGTATCCACTCATTGTTGAAACAATTTGCGATTTGCAACGTTTTCAGCTTTCTGCCCAATCAACCTGATCCCTCTGAGAAACTTGGTAACAACGAAGAAATTACACGGAAACTGAATTTTTATCTATCAAATTACGCAAATAAAACATTCAAATCTTGAAACGTGACTCATATTTAAAATTTTAGATCAGCGAAACGATAAAATTTGACAAATTAGACTTCTGAACATCTTAAACGACTATTATTCGATAAAAGATGATTTTAAATAGTAGTCAGCAGAACTGAAAATGGAGAATCATTTTTAACTTGGATAATGTGAAATTCAGTTCAAAAATTCACCCATTTTTAATAAATTCTATTTTAGCTGTGATTATCTGCATTGATTGCTGAAAGACTAATTGTATAAATTTCAGGTTAGGATTCAATTATTTATATTTTATTGATGATAGATCCAGAGTGACGAAATACAACCAAGCAAACGTTTCATTAGATCAGAATCTCACAAATAACACCGTTATACTCCCAGGTAGGAGGAGCATTCACCATCCCTTGATAACGATAATTCGGGTCGGAATCAACAAAAAGGTAAACATTTGTGCGATCTTCATACTTAGTTCCCGATGGTAAGAAATCCGGATGCCATTTGGTGAAGGAATTCGCAGGTGTGACCTCGCGAGTCTACAAAGAAAAAAAAATCATTAGATAGAGTCCACCATGCTTGATCACGCATTCAATTTAATATCAACAATTATCTATTTCATTAGTCAAAATATCATATATTATTGTTGATCCATGCTTGGTCAAATGTAAACACAAGTATTTATTGTGTCTCATGTGTTATCAGGTAAAACTTCATGCGCTGGACAAATATTTGTACGAGTATATTGCACTACACAATTCCTATATAACTTAACTCTACGCAGTTCGGTGCAAGACAAGTCTTCGGATTGAATTAGATTGTTAGGTTGTTGTAAAACGACTATAAACAACCTCCAATGTAATTTTAGGACACAAGTTCAAATCTCGTTAGATCTCTGATGCACATGAATTGAAAAAACGCATTGCCAATATTCTTTAAAACTTTGAGAAGATGCATGGACGTTCTGAAAGCATGGAATTGAAAGTGTTAAATTTGGTAGAAATGCAACCCGTTCTGATGAACAATAGAACACCAAAAAAATAGCGAAATCGTAACTTCATTTGCCTACGTATTTAAGTATAGTTTTCGAAGGCGCTGCAGTTTCCATAACAGCACTATATTATTATAAAGATCAAAGAACTTGACGACATAACAGTAACCGACTAAGCAGCGAGTCAGAAAAAGCAAGTGTAAACATCATGTCAACCTCATAGAAAAGTTCAAGCAACGCAGGTCAATAGTTTTGCCTAGTGGTAATATACGGGATTGTCCATAAAAATGGGAGATAACAGCACATTTGTATTTTTCACAGAACAGTAGCCAAGTCATAGCAACCAAATTACGTCAGAGTTAACCTTGGTCTTTATGATTTTCCACCGTATATTTTATATATTTTCACCAAAATATTTTACTCTCTTGTCTTCATATATTTGTATATATTTTTAATTCGCGGTAATTTTTAGGCGAATGAAAACCTTATGAAAAACATCCCATAGAATGGCACAGGCATAAGTTGCTATGAGATGAAATTAGACAGAAAATACGTCCCATAAACAAGCCTGGTAACGCATATTACTTAAAATATATGACCACATCATTATTTTGCGTTTTGTAATTGCGCATGTACCATTTTCAGATATTTATTACCACGCTGGATTTGCGGCTCAACTTGTAAACATGAGGGAAAATGAGTATTGATACCATTTTCAAATATCGGTGGACATCAACGCCAAGACATTCAGCTAAACTACGAAAGAAGATTGTTGTCATCATGGCCTGCACAGTTGTATATAAAAGACTAACTCAAGTTGTGTCAAACATCTTTGGCCGTGTCCCACCCCAAACTCCCATTTTGAAATTTATTTTGAATTTTAACACAAGAATATAATTGACTTAACTATGAGATACTAACCATTGAATCAAAGTGGATTCCAGTCCATATTCTAATCAACACCTCCCCTTTTGGAATATTCCTTCTCAAGTAATTCACAATTGCATTGTATGATTTTTCATCTCGAATCAAACCAATATCTGCGTTGCGTTTTTTACAAATATCATCTGCTTCGTTGTAGTTGACATCAGACCCAACTTGTATCACAGCAGAATAACAGATCTGTCCAACCTTAAATTTACAGTTTTCTGAAATGTAACAGTTGAATACAGTTATCATAAGTATATTGAGTTAATAAATTTTAATAAACCTAATTTTAGGCAAGTATCACTAGTAACAATGTTGTGCTTTAGTATTTCCAAATAAAACTAGCCGACATAATTAATAAAATGCATTGAATCCTATAACACTATGTTCTTTTTAGATTCAGTTATGCAATATCCTGCAACCAACATTCAGTCACCTACATCACTCTATAAGTTGTATAGTTGTATAAGTTGTATAATCACTCTCCATCGAATAGCTAAATACATTCCGCTTCATTTTATTGCAAATTATTCGTTAAATATTCAAAACCCACAACATATTGGATGATATTTATAATAAACTTCACCCTGAGATGGAGTTGGTTTTAATCTTGTTTCTTGTTCGGTTTTATTCGAAAGCTGCTCCTCCGAAACAGCAAGTTTTTGTTCAATCCGGGATATCGCTAAATGTTAATATAAGTGTTAAAGAGCAGGGTTTTCTACTTTTCAAAACAACAAAGCTGTAGCCACGTTTTTAAATCTTTTTCGTTTTTAATTGTTAAGCGTAAGAGTTGAAATTATATTGACCACTATACTTTGAACAGGTTCATGAAGGTTTTATTAGTGGTTTGGAAAAATAATTTTATTTTGATCTGTTTTCTGTAATTTTTCACATTCCATAAATAACAAAGCTCATTGTGGAATATTTTATTGTTCTCCATTTTAGATCTGTTTCGGGAAACAAGTTCAGGAAATGTTCAAAACATTTCGAGAATACTAGAACCACAGTATTGGGACATATTTGATATCTTTCACCTTTCTTCATCTTATTGTTGTCTTCTACCAACTTTTCATTCATTTCTTGCATTTCAACCAAGTCTAAAGATAAAAATATCCAGTAAATCATGATGCACGTTTGTTGCAGTATTAACAATGTTATTGAGACATGAAAATAGGGCGAGAAGACTCTGCATTAACTCGGTTTGTTTATATTATTTTATTAAAACATTTGGGTATTAAAAATCGAAAAAAAGATTCAAAATAACTTTGCACTTTGAAAGCTTGAGTATTATTTGATGTTGATGGATATGACAGAGAGAATTTAAAGTTACGTGCAGACTTCAAGTATTCGTCAATCATTTATTTTAGCATCAGCAATTGCAGTGTCACAAGCATCACTCTGATACACCAACCTTTTTTCAACTCTCTGATCTCAACAGACTGTTTCGTGTTTTTTCTCAATAGATTGTTTAATTTATTTGATTGTTCCTCAATTTGGTTGACAGACTCGGGATTTCCTGTTTGAAAATAAAATCATCTTGCTAGTTTTATTAAATCACGAATGTTATATTTTGAATTATTGCTGATTTTTAATTCGGATTTGATTTTTCAATATTTAACGAATATAAGCGAAATCAAGTTAAATTGAGATAAATGTTTTTGAATTTACATAAATTACAAATAAACCCACTGCTTATATACAAGATAATTTTATGAACAGAATTTCCTGCACTGACATTTCAAAAAGGTGTATTTTATCAACATCTTTTCTTTAGCGAAAAAATAAATTACAAAAGTTTAAACTGTAAGAAAATTTCTATACATTTTGGTCGATTCTGACTGATTTATTTTATTGGGGTTATTGGCAATTGTCTTAAATGATTTATTGGTGCGAGCCTTTGTTTATGATTAGCTATTTTTCAATTGGATGGTAGTTTTTAATGTATGGAACAAAACGCACAAAATTTAGCAATTTATTATCAGTAAAAGGTATAGCACAGGGGTAGGGCAAAATTTTTTTAGTATAAGAGCCGCGTGCAGCAAGACAGAAATATGTGAGAGCCGCATAATTTTAAGGTTATTAATATTAGAACACCTTGAACAGAGAATTCACCCAAACGTCTAATAACAATAAATGATATTGCAAAGTATTTATTGCGATGATATATCTAAAGTACTTGACTTGCGTGTTTCCATCCTATCTGTGAGTTTTTGAAGACTGGGCAATATGTGGACAATGCAGAGCGGGACCGGGAACTAACCGCAATCAAGATGCAACGCAGCAACAAACATGTGACCATTGTGACCCAAGATTTGTCGCTTGACTGATTTAAATTTGAAAGTCCACGCTAAAACGATTTTCATACCAAAACATACTTCAACTCAATATTAAATGAACACTTTTTCAATCGATTAATAAATTTAAAACAAACTGTTACACTACAGATTCTCTTATAGTTGAATTTGGATAAAATCCTATGTTAGCGTGAAGAGCCGCATAACAACTCTCAAGAGCCGCGCAGTTTGCCCACTGTTGGTATAGTACATTTGCTGTATCGTAAACACTGACCAGAAATTTCCTTTTCAAAATTCTCGATTTTTTCATCAAACTTGTTTTCTAATTTGTTCAATCCCATTCTGATGTTTGTGATATCTGAAAAAAAAATATTAAAGATATTTCTAGATTGGAAAACTTCATGAACACACTCCAATCGAAAATAAAAAACGAAACACGTCATTCCCGGTCAAGTACTGACTCATAACCCATAATAAAACATTTCATTAATCATTCGATCAAACCACTCACCCAAATTTCTAGACACGAAATCAAGCCAACCCATAACGCTATTGGACTTGCATGTAATCGGGAATTCTGTGTCATGAAGATGTTCACCGATGTCGAAACCTGGTCTGTCCCATCCTACTGCAACCGGATCACATTGTGCAATCTGACAACCAGGCTTGGGAGAGCAGTGAAACACTGTTTTATCTTGACACCAGGATGATGCGACGACGTAGATTAAGATAAAAACGATTGAGAATTTCATCTCAAGATCCCAGTGCAGTTACTTAATAACTGAATGAGGAAAGGTTCAAGTTGGAATTAAGAAGTTCATTCGCTTATGTCAATGAGAAATGAAATTTCAAAGTATTTTACAAGGAATCATGGTTTCTGCAAACGGGAACTTAGCATGTTTGATCTATTTTGAACACCCTTACGTTCTTTGCAGCTGAGATAGTAGTGATCCAGAATGAGAGAAGCTAATTTAAAAGCGGAATTTTAAAAACAATTTTCCAGACATGGCTCTCCTGTAATGCCGTAATGAAAAAAGAGAAAAGGGTATAAATTAAACTATGACGCATAATGCGAGTTATATAAATCGTATCGATTTAAAAACGACTTGTCAGATCTTTGTAGGGACGGTGGAAACCGCTTTTAAACACAGATAAGAAATGGCAAACGATACTCCCTTCTAATGGACTTTTTATTGGCATAGCACAGTGTATATATTTTTAAGGCTATACTGTTTCTGCTTATCTCGCACTAATATGGAGAAATTCTTTTGGTATTATCTAGAATTTTCCGAGTATGACCATATAGGTGTTGTAATCTAAACTCATATTAGGACTTCCAGAATTGAACGATATCACGACGTCTCATCACATACAAAGAGTGTACGAATATCACCAGTATAATAAACGGTTTATTCCTTTTAAAACTCTAAAAATCTTGGGAACTATTCTATAACCCAGTTGCCTTCATATAGTCGATATAAAACTATACTGATATAGTTCCATTGCCACGCATTTATGCCTAAAAATTCACCGCATTTGGGCATTTCTAGAAGCAGACGCACGCTATGTCGTGACGAAGCTTCAGATCCTAATCGGATTAGCGATGTCGCTCACCGTTCGTTATTCGATCAACAATGACATCGCAAAATTAATTTTAGTTTTCTGCAATATTCTATTATTTATTAAATTGCAATAAATTTAAAATATAAGTTTACAAAGGCTATTAAAACTTATCAGCATAATTAATCCAAAAGTAAAAAAAATTATTCCTTTCAGATTATAACCTTGTACGAGCTGGTGATGGTAAATTGCAAAAAAAATATCAATGCTTACATTTTTGTAGTTAGAATTTATATTACGTGTGGTGAGTTCTAAAAAATTCTGTGCAAGAAAGCTGGGGCCTCACTATAATAATGAAAGATAGCAAAGACTTATAATGCCTTTGATCTATTCATTTTCCACAATGATTTTTTAATAAACAGCATGAAAGATATTATATAGAAGCTGAATTCATTCAACGTTGATGAGACAAATTTTCATTCATGAATTCCTTAAATCAATATCGTTATATTCAAAATATACAGATCAGCGAAACGAGATAATATGACAAATAAATTGCAGTAAAAGTTATTTCACATGGTTTATTGGACACGTCAGTGTACATAACGATCTTTCAATATTATGTTGTTGTTCTTGTTAGTATTATTCTTCTTTTTCGTTATGATGAAATCGCTTTTCTCTTCGAATACTGGACCAATTGCTTTGAAGTTTTCAGTGGTTGAAGATTGATTTTTTTTTTGCCAGAAGGCTATTACTTTTACTTATTTCAAAAATTTCTGTGGACTTCAAGAGATTTGTTTTTTATGTGTCGGAATAAAAAAAATAGCGACACCTTGTGACGTGTCCATATATTTGAGCACAGCTCTCTTGTACTTTTCTATAAAATCGTTTTAAATTCAGTTTCCCTGCTTAGCTAATGTAAGATGCGAACATCATAATACCAACCATTGTGCGATTGCGGCGTGGTACGCGACAAGAGTTTGGTAAACTTTGGCAAGTTTCCTCTTTGAGTTGTGCGTTAAAACCAGGGGAGTGCAAACTGCGGCAAAGAAAAATTGTGCGACCCGCAGAGACGTGCCGATTTTAAATGGAAACACTACTCACGAAATTAATTTGTTCCGGAAGCCCCTTTGAAAGAAAAGGAAGGACGCAATTTACTTGTAAGTGCCCTAATCCGTTCTAAGCCCCCACAAAACTCGGAAATAATATTTGTATAAATTATATTGATGGTTGAAACCCACAACAAATACATGTAAGAATTAAATTACTGCATAATAAATAGAAAAGTTACATATGAAAGAAGAAAGCACAGAGAAATACCGAATAAAAACTACGAACGATATGTTTGTTTACCTTTGGCCTTGGCCGACTAGGCTAGGCTAAACGAAGACCGCGGACAGTGGAAGGACGGCGGTAGGAGGAGGCGGCTAAATTTGACAGCTGGGAGAGAACGCAATACAGGAAAATGACCACACACACATGAAATTCAAATTTTTCTCTTTTATTTTAACTGTTACGCGTATGTATCATCAACTTCTCACTCAATTTCGCAAGCAACACATAGTACGTGCTCGCGGTAAACAAACGGGATAATGGGATGGCAGATAATATATTGCCGCATGGAATGAAATAATTGTAAAATGTTTTCAATCAAAAAATGGACGACGGTAGTGGCGCTAGGATAAGTGCGCCAAACAAGAAAAACGATATTTGTAGGTCGCTATATTCGAATATCAAATTCGAATTGGACATCTCTTTATCAAAGGCACTGCATTATTTTTAATCTAAAATAAACAAATATCACTACACGCATTTTTTTCGGTTCTCGCCCTATTTGTATATGTAGAAAATCTTTAGCCGAAGCAATATTTTACAAGAAAAATTTTCGTAGATTGGATTTTTTGTATTCAGGGCCCTTCGTAGATAGAGTTTCTATGTGTGGCTTCACCCATTTACTATTATCTAGCCCTTCTGTAAAAAAAGGTTGCACACCCCTGCTTTAAACTACCCTTTGTCGTGTCTGATCTCACACTCTATCCCTGGCATGGGCAGACTACGGCTCACGGGTCAAATCAGTCCGGTCATTCAATCTGATTCTGCCTATAGGCTTGTTAGATTATGATCGTAGTTTGTGTAAGCTGTATTTTAGGTTGCCACTGAATTTCGACTTAATATGACCTCTCGCTCACTCGATTTGGCGCGTTTGTAACCTTTTTCTATCGCCTATGCGCGTATCTTTTTACGTCACACTCACATGACCTGCAAGTCTAGGCGGGCAAAATGTCTGGTCCTTGGTCCAAAAAGCTTGCCCACCCCTGTTCTACCCTCTGGTATCAGATTCTTAGGACCTTCTGAAGTATGCGCACCAAGATGACGCACAACCTGAACTCATGCTGTGTACAAGGTTAGGTTTCAGGTTGTGCGACATCTTGATGCGCATACCTAAGGAGTACCGATTCTTATATTCCCAATCCACGTATAAATATCATAACCATGAGACACTAACCATTGGATTGAAGTATACCTTTGTTCATATTATGATATCCGAATTTTCCATAAGAATATTAATTCATAAATAATACCCAATCTCATTGTGAGATGCTTCATTTCGTATCAAACCAACATCTGCTTTATGTTCCTTTCAAATATCAAATGCAT